GGAGAATGGCTCCGAGCATGTGACAGATTCTACTTCTGAACCAGGGGACTCAGCAATTGCTGAAGCTGGTCCAGGACCCAATGCAGAGCAGGGAGCAGGGCGATAAATGGGAGAGAGGCTTTTCCCTAAGTGGGGTGTTTTAGATCCTCATGGTAGGTCGTACGCAATTCCTTATCTTTCATGGAGGGCTGCTTTTCACTGATTCTGGGTGGCCGTGTAGACTCTCTGGTGCTGGGTTTTTCCCAGTCCGGAAAACGTGCCTCCCGAGCATCGCTGCTTGCCTGCCTCACCGCGCATCCCCAAGCTGATCAGGCCTGAAGGGTTCAGGCTCTTGCCGGGTCAGGTCTGGCAACTTTTCGCCGCATCCAAACCGCTCTCCTCCCCGACACTCAGTTCAGTTCCTCAACTCTGCCTTTGATGTTCAGGGCTCCCAGACTGCCATATACAATCAAATCACTTGTTTTTTCAGGTCTTTCTTATTACTGGGTCCACCGGAAGCATCTGACTACTCCGCCATCTTGGTCCCGCCCCCCCAGGCTGTAATCTTTACAGGAGGAGATTCCTAGGACTCTTCTCCTACAGAGCTGCTGGTGGTTTTGAACTGCTGAAGTTTCCGTTAGCAGTTCATTACTTTGACCATTGTGACACTAGATTTCTTACAATTTCATTTGTGGTTATTGTTAAGTGCCGTCAAGTTGGTTCTGACTCATGGTGACCTTATGTACAACAGTACAAAACACTGCCTGGTTCTGCTCCATCCTCACAATCATTGCTGTTTGAGCCTCCTGTTGCAGCTACTGTATCAATCCATCTTAGTGAGGGTCTTCCTCTTTTTCGCTGTCCCTCTACTTTACAAAGCATGATGACCTTCTCCAGGGACTAGTCCCTCCTGATAACAAGTCCAAAGTACTTGAGTTGGAAGTCTTGCCATCTTTGCTTCTAAGGAGCATTCTGGCTGTACCGCTTGCACGACAGATTTATTGGTTCTTCTGGCAGTCCATGGTATATTCAACATTCTTCACCAATGCCATAATTCAAGCGCATCAATTCTTCTTCAGTCTTCCTTAATCACTGTGTAGCTTTCACATGCATATGAGGCGACTGAAAATACCATGGCTTGAGTCAGGCACACCTTAGTCCTCAGCGTGACCTCTTTGGTTCTTGACACTTTGAGGGCACTTTTGCAGTAGATTTACCCAGTGCAATAAGTTGTTTAATTTCTTGACTGCCTTTTCCATGGGCAATGACTGTAAATCCAAGTAAAATGAAATCCTTGACAACTTCAATATTTTCTATAGTAAGAATAAAATACTCATATTTAAATTTACTAATAGCAAATAAGAGTTGCCATTACTTGCAAGCTAGGAAAAAATAGTTCTAATTCCTTCCATTAGCTTCCTCTTAAACTGTGTTCCACCTATATACTGAGCTAAAAATCCTCCAATTAGGTCCTTAATAGTTAAATCGCCTCATGGAACAGCAGAAAGAGCACAGACCTGGAGATCAGAACATTTGAAACAGCTCTGACATTAACTAGTCAGACATTAACTCTGACACTGCCCAAGTTAAAACCTCGTGTATAATAACTGGCACCTCCTAACAATTAAATACTTACGCTCATCAAAAGACTTTACCAAAAGAGTAAAAAGAGAACCTATAGACTGGGAAAAAATCTTTACAAGGACATTTCTGATAACAGTCTAATCTCTATATAGAAAACTTCAACAAGACAAAAGAATCCAATCAAAAAATTGGCAAAGAACATGAACAGAACCTTCATCAAAGAGGACATTCAGATGGCTAACAAATACATGACAAGATGCTTGCTATCATTAGCCACGAGAGAAATGCAAAACAAAACTACAATGACTTAGCATCTCCTGCAAAGATGTCACTGATCAGTAAAACAGAAAACAACAAATGCTGGTGAGGTTGTGGGGAGACTGGAACTCTTACACACCGTTGGTGGGGTGTAAAATGGTACCACTGTGGAAAATGGTAGGGCGCTTCCTCAAAAAGCTAAAAATAGAAATACCTTATGATCCAGCAATCCCACTCCTAGGTATATACCCTAGAGATTAGAGTCACGACATGAATAGACATATGGATATCTATGTTCACTGCAGCATTATTCACAACAGTAAAAAGATGGAAACAACTTAAGTGCCCATCAAGAAACGAATGGATAAACAAATTGTGGTACAAATATACAATGGAATACTACGCAATGATAAAGAATGATGAGTCTTCTAACACGGGCAAATCTGGAGGGCATTATGCTGAGTGAAATAAGTCAATCACAAAAGGACAACTATTATATGGTTTCACTTTTATAAAAAGCCAGAAAAGGTATACACACAGAAAGCAACGTTCTTTGATGGTTACCAGGGTTGGGAGGGGGAGGAAGGGGAAACCACTTTCTAGATAGTAGACATTTGTTATTTTTCGTGATGGGAAAAGCAATACCCAATATGGATTAAGCCTGTACAAACTGACCAAGGTAAATAAAGACACTGAGAAGTATGCAAGAATAAGGAACAATTTCGATAAATGCTATAACATACAATTTTGCAACAACAGTAATAACAACCAAAAAATATATGTGTGGTTACACAGGTAGATATGTATATATGTGTATAAGAAGGCATATGTGAGTACACGCATGTGCATATATAAGAGTATCTGTAGACATATAATACCGTATTTTATACAAACAATGCACGCTGTCTGTGTTTGTTGGCCGTGCCCTCCCCGTGCAAGGCACCCTCACAAGCACCGCCATGCCAATACTCTTCCACATGTTGCTGTAATAAAAAAAAAAAATCAGCATACAGTGCTTACGAGAATACCTCACAGGGGGAGGGCGTGGCAGTCAAACAAATGCAGAAGGCATGCATTATTTGCATAAAAATACAGTATACACATTTGTGTGTGCTGCATATATATTCAAATATATAATAAGGCACACAGAGGCAAAGCTATGAAGACTTCCCAGACATATCCAAACACCTCATGAGATTGGTTTACTGGGTTAAAAGGCTTGGGACTATAGTCCTGTGGGACAACTTGGTCAACCGGCATTGGCATAACATAGTTCACAAAAATAACATTCTACGTTCTAGTTCGGTAAGTAGCATCTGGGGTCTTAAAAGCTTACCAGCTGTGGTGCAACTGATCTCTTTTGTGTGGCCTTGCTTGTCGTGATCTTGTAACTCCCACCCAAGTGCTTGGGCAGACTGTGCAGATAAGGTAATTGTGGTCTAATGAGAGGATTGGTCAGTTTTGCCATCCTGCTGGGCTTAAGATGACGTGCAAGGGTGGGGATCCCACCACCACCAAGGAAGAACAGCTATGAGCGGAGAGCACATCTTCTGAACCCAGGATCCCTGCTCTGAGAAGCTCCTGGACCCAAGAGACAAAGAGTTGTAACACTGAAGACAGTGAAAAGCAGTGGCAGGAGAGGCTGGCAGGAGACCACACAGTGGGCATCCCAGCATACGGAGAGAGAAAACTGAGTATCTTTGGGCAGAGAACCAGGGCCAGGGAAAGACATGCCAGCAAGCATGGCTGAAAACAGGCTGTCCTGATGGAAGACCTGTACCCTGACTGTTCCTGAGCCTAAATTGTAAACTGTTAACTTCCCTAATAAACCCCATAATTGTCAGTATTGTCTGTGAGTTCTGTGTGGCTACTGCAATGAATTATCGAGCCCAGCAGAGACTTAGAGAGCACTAAGGGAGAGGCAGTTGGTGTGAGAATTGGTAAAGATGGTGGAGAGAGGAGGCATGTCTGACCTCCACCTCAAAGGAATCAGCCTTGGGCTGTTGATCTTGATACTCCTTCTCCCTTGTAAAGTTAGAGGAGGTCAGAAACCACCTCCATGATGTTTTTACACCAGTGGACATCTAAGATACAAGTATTGGTTTCTACTCATGTGGAACAAAAGAGAATGAAGGAAACCAAAGACTCAAAGAAGAAACTAGTCCACACGACTAATCCATTGCCATCAAGTCAATTTCGACTCATAGCGATCCTATAGGACAGAGTAGAACTGCCCCATAGGGTTTCCAAGGAGTGGCTACTGGATTAGAACTGCCGACCTTTTGGTTAGCAGCTGGAACTCTTTAACTACTGTGCCACCAGGGCTCCTAATAGCCCACATGAACCACGGTCTCATCTAGCCTGAAACCAGAACTAGAGGGTGCCTGGCTACCACTACCGACCATTCTGACCAGGGACACAAAAGAAGGTCTTGAATAGAATGGGAGAAAAAAAAAGAAAACTCAAAATTCCTACAAAAGGCCAGATGTACTGGACCAATAGAGACTGGAGGAACCCCCAAGACTATCGCCCTAAGATACTCTTTGAATTTGAAACTGAAGCCACATCCGGAGGTCACCTTTCATCCAAATTATTAACAGACTGGCTTATAAAATAAACAATATCACCCGTAACTACTGTGCTCCCTTAAATAATCAACTACACGAGAGCACATGGTCAACATTTCCCCGAAAGCAAAGCTGAGAAGTTAAGGAGGGGCAGGGAAGCCAGATTAACGGAAACAGAACAAACAGAATGGAAATAATGAGAATGCCCACACATTGTGAAAAAGAACAAATGTCACAATTTGTATAAAAATTGTTAAATGAGGACCTAATTTGCTGTGTAAACTTCCACCTAAAACATAATAAATTATTAAAAAAAAAAAAAACTTCATGTATTAGGTCCCCTCATCTATGGAGATAAATATCAAAATCAAGCATTTTATTTTAAGCAAAGAGACGTTAAAATCCCAAAGATTCAAGAAAGTGGTGAAAGACAAGTATGAATAATTTCCCAGAAATTAGTAGGCATCTTCCTTTATACTTTTTCCATATGAGCCTTAGAGTACAATTATCAGGGATGAAAAAGCAAGCAAATAATGTTTTAAAATTAAATAACATTTTTTTTTAAAAAGCAACAGACCAACAACTGTTACGAAAGTAAGAATTACGACTTACCGTCAAGCACTGTGAAAAAGACTACCACTTTTCTTAAAATGCAGATTAAAACTGGTTTATGTTTGCTTTGCTTGATATCAGCAACTGAATGGCCTTCTTAGTTAAACTTAGTGAACTGGAAAAGAAAATTTTATGGATTATTATAGAGAAAGACAATTCAATATATAACAACAGCGTATGATTACTGCATTATTTTTTGTTTCAAAATTACGTTCTTAAGTCTCTATTTGGACTCTTTTTCCTAACTACATACTCTCTGAAATCACAACCCAGATCACTCCATTAAACTACATCAAAGAAAAGTCACCACTAAACTCCCTGTAACTGCCAACCCCTAAATCCACTTCTAAATTCAGAAATTGAGTCAAACTGCCTGGGATGGATCCTGGCCCCATCAGTTTTAACTATATGACGTTGAGCAATTTCTTTGTTTCAGTTTCCTCTTTTATAAAATAACAAAAACAGAGGCGGGGCCAAGATAGTGGAGTAGTCAAGACACTTCCAGTGGAACCTTCTATAACAAAGACCTGAAAAAACAAGGGATTAGATTATACAAGGCAATCTGGGAGCTCTGAGCATCAAAGACAGAGTTAAGGAACCAGACTGAGGGATGGGGAGGGAGACACAGTTCAGAAGCAGCAAGGAGTTGCCAGATCTGACTTGGCGAGAACCTGAGCCCTTCAGGCCTGATCAACTCGGGGGTAAGCGGTGAGGCAGGCGAGCAGCCGTGCTCGGGAATTGTGTTTTCCGCACCGGGAAAGAACCAGCCGCTGAGAGTCTACATGACTACCCAGAACCAGTGAGAAGCAACCCTCAATCTGCAGAAAGATAAGTAATTGCCTACGGCCTACCAGACGGATCAAAAACAACCCCCTTAGGGAAAAACTCTCTCCAATCTACCTCCCCGCTACCTGCTCTACACCGGGTCCCAGACCAATTTAAGCAACTGTCGAGTCCCCTGGACCAGAAGTAGGATCTATCAAATGCCTGGAGCCATTCTCCCTGCCTTGGAGAGTAAACAAATTAACAAACAGGGTAAAAAATAAACTGCCTGCTCTCCTAAGCCAGGAACCCAGGGTAGGCACAGCTCCTTTCCCTAGGCACAGGCATAAGGGATCCATGGGCTTTGGGTGCCTTTCCCTCTGCATAGACTTGCGTGGGGCCATCTCAACAGTGTAGGCCTTCATTACCGCAGTACAACAGGGTACATACCGGAACTCTAACTTCAACTGTTTCAGCGGTGAAGTGGCAGGTTCTTGATCTTTGACACTGCTCTGCCCATTAAGCAGGGTCTTCACCTACCCACATCAGAGGCCTGAGGACTGATGGCTCCAACCACGCCACTTAGCAACCTACAATAAGGGCCCATGAAGAAGAGGTGCGCACTCACTCCTTACAGCCAACAGCATTAGGAGCTCATAGTCAGGCTGCAAAACCCACCCACCTACTCTCTAGAGAACAGAAACATGTCTTCCTCCTGGAAACCCAGGGGCTGCCGTCAGCCCCCTGCCTTGCTCACAGTGTGTCCCTTTGCTGCAGCCAGATGCATGTACCTACACCAATCACCCATGGCTGTCTAGGACTGTAAGTGAGAGCCTCCACCACACACTTGGTGGTTATCTACCTAGGCACCTGAGCTGAATCCATACAGGGGGAGTGGGCAGACTCCTGAACTCACATACCTAGTAACAGATCTAACCACCTGGTGACAGGACATTAGAGCTTCAAAGGTGCCAATAATCAAATTAGCTCATATGAGCAGCCTATTTGGGCATATCAAAACAAAACAAGAAGATAAAACATAGTAACCGAACATAAAATAAATAAATATAATAACTTATTGATGGCTTGGAGACAACAATCAATATCAAATCACATAAAGACGCAATCCATAATGGGTTCAGCAAGCTGTTAAAATAAAGAATCTAGAAATTTTCCAGAGAAGGAAAATTTCTTGGAATTACCGGAGGCAGAATAGGAAAGATTAATATACAGAACTCTTCAAGAAATTCGGAAGGAGAGTAAGCAAAATGCAGAACACATTACAGAGAAAATTAAAAAGATTAGAGCATAATGTCAAATGTGACAGGCTGCAAGAATCCATAGACAGCAATCAGAAATCCAGAAAATTAACAATAAAATTTCAGAATTAGACAACTCAACAGAAAGTCATAGGAGCAGAATTGAGGCAATGGAAGTCAGAGTTAGTGAGACTGAAGATAAAGCACTTCACACCAACTTATTTGAGGAAAAATCAGATAGACGGATTGAAAAAAATGAAGAAATCCTAAGAATTATGTGGGATTCCATCAGGAGGAATAACCTACGAGTGACTGGAGTATCAGAACGGGGGGATAACAGAAAATACAGACAGCATTGTTGAAGATTTGTTGGCAGAAAACTTCGCTGATATCATGAAAGATGAAAAGGTATCTATCCAACATGCTCATCGAACTCCACGTAAGGCAGATACCAAAAGAAAATCACCAAGACATACTATGATCAATCTTGCCAAAACCAAAGATATAGAGAATTTTAAGAGTGGCTAGGGATAAACGAAAAGTCATTCACAAAGGAGAGTCAAAAAGAATAAGCTCGGACTACTCAGCAGGTACCATGCAGGCAAGCAGGCAATGGGATGACATATATAAAGCCTTGAAGGAAAAAACTGTCAGCCAAGAATTATGTATCCAGCAAAACTGTCTCTCAAATAGAATGGTGAAATTAGGGCATTTCCAGATAAACAGAAGTTTAGGGAATTTGCAAAAACCAAACCAAAATTACAAGAAATACTAAAGGGAGTCCTCCAGTTAGAAAATCAGTAACATCAGATAACAACTCAAGACTGGAACACAGGACAGAGCAACCAGATATCAATCCAGATAGGGAAGTCACAAAAATAAATCAAAGCTAAAACACTGAAAATAGGGAAGCAGATGTCAATATGTAAAAGATGACAACATTACAACAAAACAGTGGGACTTAAAAAATGCAGACATAGATTTTTCATATGAAGAGGAAGTCAAGGCGATATCAAGAAATAAAAGACTGGTATAAACTGAGGAAAAAAGGAGTAAGTATCAATGTAACCACAAAGGAAACTAACAACCATACAAGTCAAAATAAAATACTAGAAACATATAAAGCCTCAGCAAACACAAAATCAACAACAATGAAAAAGTTGAAAAGAAAATACATAAAGAAAAACGACTCACCACAGAAAATTAAGTGAAACAAAGAAACATGAACAACACACAAAAAAAAACATCAAAATGACAGCACTAAACTCATACCTAAAAATAATTACGCTGAATATATATGGAATAAATCCACCATAAAGAGACAGAGAGTGGCAGAATGGATTAAAAAACACAATCCGTCTATATGCTGCCTACAAGAGACGCACTTTAAAGACACAAACAAACTAAAGCTCAACAGATGGAAAAAATATATCAGCAAACAAAAATCAAAAAAGAGCAGGAGTGGTGATATTAATCTCTGACAAAACAGACTTTAAAGTAAAATCCACCACAAAGAATAAGGAAAGACACTATATAATGATTAAAGGGTCAATACACCAGGAGAACATAACTTAATAAATATTTATGAACCCAACGACAAGGCTCCAAAATACATAAACTCTAACAGCACTGAAAAAAGAGATACACAGCTCCACAACAGTAGAAGGAGACTTCAACACACCACTTTCGGTGACGGACAGAACATCCAGAAATAAGCTCAACAAAGGCACAGAAGAGCTAAATGCTACAATCAACCAGCTGGATCACACAGACATATACCAAACACTCCACCCAACAGCAGCCAAGTATACTTTCTTTTCCAACGCACAGGGAACATTCTCCAGAACAAACCACATATTAGATCGTAAAGCAAGCCTTAACGGAATGCAAAGCATCAAAATATTACAAAGCATCTTTTCTGATGATAAAGCCATAATCAGTAACAGAAATCAGTAACAGAAAAAGCAAGGAAAAAAAATCAAACACACAGAAACTGAACACCTTGCTCAAAAACTACTGGGTTATAGAAGCAATTACGGAGAGAATAAAGAAATTCATAGAATTAAATGAGAATAAAAACACATCCTACTGGAACCTTTGGGATACAGCAAAAGGAGTGCTCAGAGGTCAGTTTACAGCAATAAATGCACACACCCAAAAAGAAGAAAGGACAATAATCAAAACATTACCCCTACTCCTGGAACAGGTAGACAGAGAGCAGCGAAAGCAGGCCTCAGGCACCGGAAGAAAGGAAATCATAAGAATTAGAGCAGAATTAAATCAAATAGAGAATAGAAAAATAACTGAAAGAGTTAACAAGACCAAAAGCTGGTTCTTTGAAAAGATGAACAAAACTGATAAACCACTGGCCAAACTGACAAAAGAAAAACAGGAGAGGAAGCAGATAACCCGTCTAAGAAATGAGGTGGGTGATATCACAACACACCTAACTGAAATTAAAAAATCATAACAGAATACTATGAAAAACTGTACTTAACAAATTTGAAACCTAGAGGAAACAAATTTCTAGAAACTCACTACCTACCTAAACTAACACACAGGTACAATAAATAAATAAACCCATAAAAAAAAGGAGATTGAAAAGGTAATTTAAAAACTCCCAACAAAAAAAAGCTCTGGCTCGGATAGCTTCACTGGAGAATTCTAGCAAACTTTCAGAGAAGAGTTAGCGCCACTACTAGTAAAGGTATTTCAGAGCACAGAAGAGGATGGAATACTCCCAAACACATTCTATGAAGCTAGCATCACCTTGATATCAAAACCAGGTAAAGACACCACAGAAAAAGAAAATTACATACCAATATCCCTCACGAAAACCGACGTGAAAATCCTCAAGAAAATTCTAGCCAATAGAATTCAACAACATAACAAAAGATTTATTCACCATGAACAAGTGGGATTCATACCAGGTATGCAGGGATGGTTCAACACTAGAAAAACAATCAGCATAATCCATCACATTAATAAAACAAAAGACAAGAACCACATGATCTTATCAATCGATGCAAAAAAGTCATTTGACAAAGACCAACATCCAATCATGAGAAAAACTCTCAACAAAATAAGAATGGAA